TATTAAATGTAATTACAGTAGGTATTAAATATAATTACATTAGGGTATTAAATGTAATTGTTAATACTTATAACAAAAAAAAAAAGCAAAAAACTTGCACAGCAGTGAGGTATTAAATATAATTACAGTATGTATTAAATATAATTATAATGGGTATTAAATATAATTATAGTAGGGTATTAAGTGTAATTATTTATTCTTATAACAAAAAAATTATAAAAGACAGAAGAGCAGTGGGAATTAAATGTAATTATAGTGGGATATTAAATATAATTATAGTGAGTATTAAATGTAATTACAGTGGGTATTAAATGTAATTATAATGGGGTATTAAATGTAATTATTCATAATGAACCGAATATATCACTGTTTTGTCGAAACGGTTCGAAACAATGCCGTTTCGACCGAAACGGTCCGAAACAGTACCGTTTCGACCGAAACACTGGAATTTTGTGATTCAACTACTGTTTCGTTTCGGACTGTTGAAATTCCGAAACGTTTCGGACGTTTCGGACGTGTCGACACGACATTTTGATCCTTGGTCATGTGTCGTATAAAGTGCAAGGATAAGAACAGAAATAAGAAGGCGATGCAGGAGGATGAATGCACTGTACACATAGTTGACAGTTTCCTACATTCTGCCCTGGAAGAAGGAAAAGAGAGGGGCAATATTAGTGCTGCTCAAGTGCGAATCTTGAAGCAAGAAGTAAATGATACAGCGGACATACAATTCAAATTGAAAGATAATCGCCTGCAGCCACCTCAATTCTCACAAAACACTATTCAAGCAAATAAAAGTTGGTTACAGATTGCATTGTCGAATGAGCATGGGGTGCAAAAGCATCAAGAGCCACATGGACAGAATGAACTGGAGCTTCCGGGGCTCAAGCCACTGTATGCAAGGTACCAGAATGAATTAGCCATATCCCAACTGGAAGATATGATACATAGGGACAAAGAGTCGTTGGGAACCTGCAGGGGAGAGGGAGATGAAAGTTTTTCAGCAAGTCAGATATCTTATAAATACCCTCCTTCAGCAGCCAAATAAAGATATGTAATCTCCTCCTTGGTATTTTCTGGCAATTAAACTCAGAAAAGTCTTGTTTAGAAAGTAGAAATAAAACTAGTTTGCTTATATCATAGAAACTTATCTCTAAATTTTTAGCACAGATTCTTAGCTCCAATACCTTTATATTTTACATGGAGACCTTCTACTTTTAAATCTTGAATTACTAAATTTTGTGTTACCAATTAAATAGTTGGCGAAGATTTGATTCTCGATAATGTTTGCACAATAGTAAAATTGGAAGAGCTGTGGCCGTATGAAGACTGTTATGAACGAAGACCACAAGCAAAATAGAGCAGAACGAAATAGAAAATATAGAATATAAATTTATGTGGATCGGCTTAAAACCCTACTCCACGGGCGAAACACAGAAGCAAAGTATCAATATCAACAAAAGGAAATTACACAAAATTCTCTAACCTAGAGAATAAAACCAAACATGGATGCCCAAAATTGGGGGCCAAAAACCCAAAAAAACTAAGTGGCCTATAATCTATTATAGATCCAAAATACTTTGTCTTCTAATACAATAGGGTTTCCAATTGATCTTTTACTTGAAGTGGAATTCTAAGACATATACATTTTCTAAATTCCTAAAGAGAACAAAGTTCAAATCAGTTTCCTATTAGAGCTGGAATCCAAGACACTCACAACAAATCTCTACCTTCGCTTGTATTCCATCAAGCAATCAAAACAAAAGCGAACGAACTAGCTGCCTTCTCCACCAATCCCATGAGGGAATACAAATAACACAAACATCCATAACAAATCTCCACCTTGACTTGTATGTCCACCAAGCCATCAAACCAAAAGTGAATTTTTCAACTGCTTTCTCCATAATAGCAAATCTATTGAATCTCCAGCGTTGATCATAGTATCTCATAAAGAACTTCTGTCAAAAGATTCGTCATAGCAACGTCACGTATCTAGATCTGCCATAGACTAAAATTGTTTTGATGATCGATATTTTCTACTTCGAATTTTATTGTAGTCATCCCGAAACCAATAGTTTTGATACCAGTTTGTTATGAACAAAGACTACAAGCAAAATAAAGTGGAACGAAATAGAAAATATATAACAAATTTATGTGGATCGGCTTAAAAGCCTACTCCACAGGCAAAACACAGAAACAAAGTATCACTATCAACAAAGGGATATTAAACAAAATTTCTCTAACCCAGAGAATAAAACCAAACATTGAAAAGAAACTGAGTGGTTTATAATTTATTTATAGACCCAAAATACTTTGTCTTCTAATACAGTAGGGGTTTTTAATTGATCTTTTACTTGAAGTGGAATTCTATGACATATACCTTTTCTAAATCCCTAAAGAGAACAAAGTTCAAATCAATTTCCTATTAGAATTGGAATCCAAGACACCCACAACAAAGACCGATATGGTGTAACATACGGAAAAATCAGGCAGGCAGGATTGGATTAGTAACATGTGTAAAAAGATGGATTTATATATATACATGGTTTGAATCAAGACCAATGAGTTTAATTATCGTTTAGTAATTTTTTTTAAAAATACTTTTGTTACTTTTTTTAAGGGTTTATTTAAAGTAGGATTTCCTATGCTACAGTGATTCAAATTCATGCCTTCTTTCTCCTAGTAAAAATTGTCGCTGGCAGGTATTAGGACACAAAAACACCTGGTCTCACGTTGTCTGAGGTGCATTTAAATGGTTCATGAGTAAAATTTTTTTTTTTTTAAAGTATAAGTTTTATACTATTATTGTATGACACGTTTTAAAACTGTGGGGCCTTAGTCCAAAACGAGCATCATTTAATGATGATTTTAGGCGTTACATGGAACACAACAAGTACAATGGAGATTGTTAAAGGAATGACTTATCTCCTTTTCCGACAGTGTAGGCCCAAAGTGAGACAATAGTGACAACTACATATGTTTCAATGCACGGGTCATTGGTGGGGCTTGTACTCGGGCCATGAGGGCCGGCAACCTACCCAAGAACTAGGTTGGGTCAGACCCTTGCCCAATTTGCTATTTGCCTAATGGGCCGACCAGTACTATAGGCCCCAAACTGTTTGTTTGGTAAATTTGGACCCAACTGTGTTAATTCAACGGTGGTTGGACTTGGACTTATTCGAACTCTTATGACCGTAGTATGATATTTAGATTAGATAAAATATGTTTAAAATATAAATGTATTCTCTTGTGTGTATTAAAAAAAAAAAAAAAAAGGGTCACGCCTTTTTTATTTCAAAATTACTTTAGTTCAGGTGTATGTATGAATGGGCTGATTTGAGAAGATGGGCCATAACATCAGGGTCGAACATATTTCCAGCAGAGCATTTTGGTTTTAATCTAAATGTGCACATTTCATGCTTTTATAAATTTAATCTTTCTTCACAAATAAATGTGAAAGAAACAAAAACGAGAGGAGATTGGGATTGAGTTTTGGGAAGTTTCATGATCCTCCGATTCATCTAATCTTAGAGGGGAGCTTAACCCTTCATGGCATGTATTAAACATTCTTGCCACTGGCACATAACACTTGCTTTTTTCTCTTGCCAAAAAAAAAAAAAAAAAAAAATTTCCATTGATTTGATTTGTGTAAGCCTGCAAGTCAGGTGAAAATGGAGAGCTTTTTCACTGATTTGATTTAGTCCCTTATGTTTCGTTTGGTATGATAGAAAAATAGAAGGATGAAAAGTTAGAGAGGTAAATAAAACAGCATGTTTGGTAAAGAAAGAAAATAGGAATGATAGAGACGTGGATGAATTTAACTTTCCTTCTAACTTATCAAAATCAATTTCTCTAAAATCGGAAAGAAAGTGAATAAAAAGTTAATTATTTGTATTAAGATGTATCTTATTTATTTATATATTATGTATACATTAATTTCATATAAAAATATAATGATAAAATATATATTTATATATATATTAAAAAAATTTAAAATTTTAAAATATTATTAAAAAATTAAAAAAATAAAAATTTGAAATTAAAAAAAATATTTTTTTCATCTTATCTAAAGATGAAAATTTTTGATTCAACATGATGACGTGACTCGAACTTGACACGAATTTTATGACACGAACTTAAAAATGACCTGACACAAACAAAAAATATAATAGGTTCACAATTTTATGACGCAATACAAATTCGACATAACACGACTCGATTGTCACCCGTAATCTTAGCCAGCACAAAAAAATTTTAAAAAAAAATTAATTATTTTTATTTTTGATCCATTCAACCAAGCATAATAGAATATGAAAGTGTATCATTTTTATTTTCTATCCTTAAAAGAAAGAAAGTGTATCCCTCCTATTTTCCATCCTTCTTACTTTTCATTATTTTTACCAAACGGAACATTAGTCTCACAATGCTCTTTCCATTCAGAAAACAAATGGAGTTCAACACACATTCACATTGAATCCAATAAAAAGATGGAGGGCTTAGTTGAGAGACATTCTTTTAAGAACTAAATTATGAGTATAGTTTAGGAGTTTAATCGGCAATTTATTCTGTAATAGCAATTTGAAAAAATTGAGTGGAGTGCCTACTATGAATTTTAATATAATGTAGGCATGATTTTTGATTCTTTAGTAAATTTAGGGGCTCCATTTTACTTTCTGCAAGAGCGCCTTTGGTTTACTCACAACTCCCACACAAATGTAGAGTCCTAATATGGGCCAGAATGAGCTTCAACTGGGGTGGTTTTGGGCTAATAAGCAAACAATGTGAAACGTTTCCAATAGTACAACTGTCAATCGTGTTAGTTGAAGCAGGTTTTTGTCAGGTTTTAACGATTTCGTGTCAAAAAATATTCTGNTAAAGGAAGTTTCTGTTTGATCTGTCAATTTTCTCACAAGTAGACTGAGGTAACCAAGAGGTTTGTATTATGTAACTTGGAATTGTTGAGGTTACAACCTGCACTAGAGTGTTTCTTCTTACTAGTGAAAGGTTTTTAGTTTTTCATCCACTCAATTTAGCTTGGATTTTTTTAGTCATTGAGTTGTAGTGTTCTTTACTCACTCTCTTATGGATGATAGGGATACCTCAGTACATGTGATGCCACTTCTTCTTCCTAGGTACAATGCCTGACTCCTACTAATATTTGGAGAGAAGTAGACTCTAGACTTTGTGGTGCTTACTTTTTGACCTGTGATAGAGCAAAATTCTTCCAGGGCACCAATATTCTTATGACTTCTCCTTCATTAATCAATCACAAACTTGCCGACACAATATTCTCCTTTCTCTACAATGATTAAAAAAATGGAAAAGTAGCAATCACAAAACCTATATTTTCTTGTGTTGGTGGACAATAAATAGGATGCTAATCATTTTCTTACTATGTCGTGATTGGAGTGCATCATTTTAAATTTGTGCCAACTATCTGTTATTTGTAATCTGATTTGTTTAATTTATTACGTTAGATTACATGGTACAAACCTAACTTTTTTTTTAATTGTGTGTATGTTCATGTTAAAACACAAAGTGTTTAATGGATATAATCCCTATTACAATCCGAACCTCGGAGCACATTGAATGATTATAAACTCAGCTAACAAGATAACCGAGCTACGTTAGTCACTAACTGCATGTGGCCAGTGAGGAAGAATCTGACACTTGACATATCATGTTTGGCAGCACACGTGGACTACCACTAAGCTGAGACAAGCCAATAATAAAGGTTCTTGCATGATAATAGCTTTATATACACTCAACCATGAATGATTACTCCCAATCATTACCCTTTAAAGTTAAAAACACACTCAACAGACCCTCATAAATGAAGACTTAGATAAGAAAAAATAGCTTTAGAGAAAACTCTCTCTCTCTTAATTTAAAAAACACTTTATTTTGCTAAATTGACTTTGGCAACGGAGGTGGTTTGGCTAAGACCACACCGATCCCCTATTCTTAGCTTCTTTTGATAGGACCAGAGTCGCGCCATCACTGTTACTCGAGGATTGACCTCCAAACTCCAAGTCTATCTTCCTGATC